AAATAGCGCTATCTACTGCGAGGATCATTCATCATACGTAGACTTGTCTTCGTTCTTCAGGTATTCAACTTCAGGTGCTATATATGTCATTATAATGATATGACTATAAAGATTGCATGAGTAAATCTTTGTAACCTTAGTGAACTTCAAACCTTATTTTGCATCACTACTTCCATGTAAATCAAGCAATTGGTTAAATAGACTAAATATGTTAACTCCATAAACTGAGGCAAAACATAAGTACAAAAGTATCAAATAACATTTTTTACGAGTGTATTTTGATTAAGCTTGAAACTTAACCAGCTTATTCCTTATTATGCACCGTGCAGATTTAATTCAAATTTGGTGAAATTGATGGTCATGTTCGGCTTTAATTGAAAAAATGTATCGCAATCAAAAAATTATAAAAAGGGGGTTTCCTTTCTCTATTTTTGCATTGCATATTTTATTCTATTTAAATCACAGTTATCAGTTTGTGAGAATAGTAAGTCCCATTCTAAATGTTCTTAAAAGTTTGTATTACTAAGTACTTGCTTTTCCTCATAATGAGTACTTATTCTATGAATTAAAATTCTCTTAGAAAATGATTATAATGTTTAGAGTTTTAAATTCCATTTTAATGCAATCTTATTTTATTAGTACCAAGATTGCCATTCTAAGCATAATTCCAGGAAGTAAATATCCAACATGATGTTACTGAATAGACCTTATGCTAAATGACTTCATATACTGAGAACTCACCCCCAGGCCTCGTTTGCACTATTTTTTCCATATATCTTTCCTTTTTTCATGTTGTTTTTGTGTGAGTGCCCTTTTCATTTCATTGTCTTGGGAATACTTTCTAATGAAACTTTATCGTTTTATCAAACACTTATCTGTCCGTTTTAAAGAACCGGGATAGAGAGGTTGAAAATTTTCCTTGTAGTCTAATCAATAAAACAGCGAAGCAGAGGTTATTGTACATGAGGTTTCATTATTTGTTAACTCTAATGTTGATGACATGGAAATTGTTGTCTTCAGTAGGAAAAGCATTTACGTGCATAAATTACGAAAGCGATTCAAGTAAACCATGTAGTCCATAAAAGGAAGTATTTTGTTGTAAAGGCTAATCTAGCTCGGTGTTGAAGTTCAGGGCTTCAGGATAACACTTTCAAGTTTTGAAAATTTCCTGGTCAAACTTTTATTTTTCTTTACAGTTACCTTTGTTAGTATACTGGAGATGTCTAATAATATCATTGTTGGTTTCTAAAAGATTTACTTACGTAATTTAAGGCTCACTTTGAATTTATAGGACCAGTTCTGTGGTCAACAGTTAAAGATATATTGTATCCCAGCTGCTTTAGAGGAAATTTTTAAGAACTCAATACTAACTTGGCAGATTTTCGTAATTACTATTGGTGTTCTGGTAATAGTTAACCTCGTAGTAGAAGTTTATGAAAATCGTTCATTTACCTTAGTTTGATTAACTCCCAAGTGCTGAAGAAAAATCCTCCCAACTAATGAGAATACGTTTCGTTGTTCCTCAGTTCTGAAAATTTACTGTTATGTCTATCAAAAAATAGTCCTCCAGTCTCGATTTTATTCAAATCTCATTGATACTTTGTTTGTCAGTATACCAAAACTCTAAGGAGAATTTAAATTGCGATCAGTTTTGGAAGTTAATGGGTTAATTTTAGTGACTGCGTTTTGTCTTTAGCGATTCAATGTGGTTTCTTGTGTACTTATTTCGAACTTCTTTATAGTGGAGAAATATATAATATGTGAAAGTAATGTTTATCATTGTTTGTCACCATATTCTAAGGACTTACAGCAAGTGAGATGCAGAGAAAGGAGATCTTGTCGGGACTTAAGTGCTTGTGTTGACTCGCGCGCACCAAATTGATCATCAGTGCAACGAACAGTTGTCCTTCTTTCAAGCCCCCTTCCCCCTCCCCCTAAACAAACGTACTAACTCTCTTCGATTGCATTTATTCCAATTTTTAGCGTTCCCTGTACGGTTCTCCCTACGCCGACGGACGTGTTCATCATTTTGCATCTCGGCGTCTTTTTCTCCACCCAAGTTTAACATTTTCGCATCCCTTTTTTCCCTTTCGTTTTAAGGAAACTAAAAATTTTCGCATAAAAAGGTATGACATATTTTGATTATTATACGTTATCTTAAATTGTCTGGACAAGGCACATGTGAGTCAGTTAGCTGATATCCGTCGTAATCTTTCGAGGCCCGGCGGCTCACACCTGACACGATCAAGATCCTCACGAGAACTCAAATTTGTTCGTTCATATTCAAGCTCTTGGCTCATTTTTATATTTTAAGACCTTAATGACCTTAATGAACATTTCTTCACCATAAAACCGGAAGTTCCATGATAGCTGAACCGTTTCCTCTTTCGCGATTTTTGCGTCAAGCTTGCTTGGAATCATGGGCTAGGGGTTTCCCTTAGAAGGCAGCTTTCAACATTGGGTGCTGTCGCACGGTGTGTTAAACACAAGTTTATCTCGATATTACCAGTTCCAATGAGCGTGTATCGAAATTTGCTCCCTTTTCAATCTTGGTGCATGACATTACGTCAGTTTTGTCGCAGATCGGGATAGCGCGGTCGTTTAAAAGCTGACTGACAGCCAAACGCAGGCCGTTTTAAGTCAGAGGTGAGCATTATATTTGACAGCACTATCTGTGATTAGTTTGCGTCACAGATGATGTCTAGTTTTAAAGCTAACGTTTTCGATTGATCTTTTCCCCCTCACATCATTCACNAAAGATTTTGATATCCTGTTTGACGCTGATGACGCACTTTCAGTTTCGATGCCACTGTTCACTTAGCAAAAGAACAAACGAGTCAGTGTTTGAACTTTCATATAGTCAGAATTATCTATAAGGAAGGCCGGTTGAATTAAAATGGACTTTAATCAGACAAGGGTTCAATGTTAAGTAGGAACATACACATTATTATGTCTCTCCCACCTTCACAAGAAAGGAATTTCATAAACAGGTTTCTAAGAAAGTTTGGGTTGGCCTTATGAATATTCCAGTTGCAGTAGACCTCATCGCCAAACTTGATATATATTGGAGCCTAAGTTTTAACTTAATGGAAACTTACTTAAATGTGTTTCCCGTCAAAACACAAACGATTTTATTCTTTTTCATATCCACTGTCTTTCCCGTTAATAACACAAGCGTCTTTAGTCTCTCACATATCCAAGGACATTCAAGGAAAAGCAGAAGAATTTATCAACGTTTATTAAGAAAATTATTTTATTATATGAATGTTTATTTTGTGTTAATTCAACCGTTTTGTTTTTGTTCTTGCCATCAGAAAGGCTAAGTGTTGACAAATTTACTCTTCCAATGATATCCAATCATAGATCATATTCCTTTCACCAATACTTCTTACTTCAGCGTCTAGTTAAAAATCAAAGACAAAAATTTACTTTAGGTGCGTGGCAACTTACTTTATTTGACTAAAATAACGATGATTTGTTTTAAAGAACTTGATGGAGAGCATTGCGCTCATTATTAACATTTTAATGAAATGACCCTGTTTTGCATTTTTGCTGAATCACTCCCATCAACAATATTTTAATTGTTTGTGAGTCACTTGAGTTTGGCCTGATGGACCATTTCCTGCAAGTTCTCGTACTTTTTGGACAAAAAGCGAATTAAGAAAATGTCACAGGCTGACCGTGAGTTTCATTATTTGAAATTTAAACCTATTGATATTTCGATATTGGACATGTAAGCAGTGGAAATGAAAAACAGCTCTTAGGAACCTCACGTTGGTGGGACTTTCGAGAAGCAGGCACCAAGAAAAATAAGTTATTGTAATCAGCGCTCTTTCTACGTCCTCTTCGTGAAATTAATTGCTGGTTACCCTCTAAAAATGTATTGTTCCACCTGTATTTGTTTCATAGTTATAGTCTGCTGTTCCTTTATCGTGCGCATTGAGCTAATATTTAATAGCTTTTGCCCATTTTCTTTTGTGAAGATACAAGTATTAAACAGAAACGAGATAGGTTAGGAAAATATTGAACAAAGCACAAAGTTACACAGGATCTAGAGCTATGACCGAACACTCATTTTTAACATTAGAAAACGAATGTTATGTATCCTATCTTTAGAGTTATTGTACTCGTTCTCCATAGAACCGAAAGCTCCATAAGAGTATAAGTTTATCTCGATATTACCAGTTCAATTGAGCGTGTATCGACCTACATTTGGAACCTTTTCAATCTTAATGACTTACTCGCATCATTTACTTCGCTTAATCTCCGATTAATGACGAACAAATATTTGTCTGATTTGCAGCCATTAATTTCTCATGAATAATTTGCATTGATAGTGTTGCATGAAATTGTAATGATGTTTCTTGACTGAGCCTGACAGATGTTTTTGAAGACATTTTCGGAATTGTCGACTGTACGTTTCCTTGGCCATCTTAAACTGGTGAGAAAAGAGTCTGAAGCTGGATTTTTGAAAGGTTTTGATATCCTGACTGTTTGAAAGGTTTTGATATCCTGACTGTTTGACGCTGATGACGCACTTTCAGTTTCGATGTCACTGTTCACTTAGCAAAAGAACAAACGAGTCAGTGTTTGAACTTTCATATAGTCAGAATTATCTATAAGGAAGGCCGGTTGAATTAAAATGGACTTTAATCAGACAAGGGTTCAATGTTAAGTAGGAACGTACACATATGTCTCTCCCACCTTTACAAGGGAAGGAATTTCATAAACAGGTATCTAAGAGAGTTTGGGTTGGCCTTATGAATATTACAGTTGCAGTAGACCTTATCGCCAAACTTGATTCATGTTTGAGCCTAAGTTTTAACTTACCCACTTTCTTTAATGTCGTTCCCGTTAATAACACAAACGTCTTTACTCTCTCGCATAACCAGTGATATTTAAGGATAAGCTGAAGAATTTATAAACTCACGTTTATTAAGAAAGGAAATTATTTTATCATGAGTTTGATTTTGTGTTAATTCAACCGTTTTGTTTTTGTTCTTGCTAGCGGAAAGGCTTAATGCCGGAAAATTTACACTCCTAATGATATCCAATCATGGTTTATATTTTTCCCTAATATTTGTTAGTTCAGCGTCTAGTTAAAAGTCAAATACAGAAATATATTTTTGGTCTCCTAGCAACTGACTTTATTTGACTAAAATAACGATGATTTGTTTTAAGAACATTTAAATGATCTTTAGTCAGATAAGGATGCAATGTTAAGTAGCAACATACATATATGTCTCTCCCACTTTCTCGTGGGAACAAATTTCATAAACAGATTTCTAAGAAAGTTTGGGTTTTTCCTTCTGATTATCCGATAATTCAACTCTTTTGCATATTTTTCTAGAATCACTCTTGACAACAACAATTTAATTTGTTTGTAAGTCGCTTGAGTTTGGCCCGGAGACCCATAATTCGAAATTTCTCAAATTTCTGGACAAGAAGCGAATAAAGAAAATCTTAGAATAGTGAGGGTCTCAGCCTAAAAACCAATCTATTCTTTTTGTGTGCTGATAATTTCGTTGTTTCAAAACTATTGATATTTCGATCTAGAACATGCAAACAGGGCAAACGAAGACAGCTCTTCGTTACCTCAATTTGTAGGACTTTTGTGAAACGGGCACCTGCGAATGCAAGTTACTATGATAATGCTTTTCCTACTTCTTCACCGTGTTATCAATGGCTGCTTACCCCATAGGAATATATTGTTTTAGCTGTGTATGTTTCATGGTCACAATCTTTGGACTGTTACGTTAACGTTCCTTTATTGTGAGCTGATATGTAGTAGCTTTTGACCATTTTCATTTGTGAAGACACAAGTATTAAACAGAAACCAAAGAACATGCGGCCAATCTCATCTCACTGACCATGGAGAGAAGTCTAATGAAAGTTCCAAGTGAAGATGACGATGAAGATGCTTTATCAGGTGAAGTTCAAATTCAGCATAAGTTACTAACCATCTACATGTAGTAAGTGTTCTAAGAACTATGTTAACAAAGAGATCCCAATGGAAATGCATACTTTTATGACACCGCTCCAACGAATTTTTCAGCACAACCAGTAATACTAAATACTTTTATGCTCATTTCTGGGACTTTAAATCAACAATTTCTGCAATTTCAAAAGACAAAATTTTTAACCTTAAGTCCCTTAAGGAATTTTACTGTCACGGTGGAAATTTTCATCGCGAAATTTAATGCCTTCGCATTAAACATATTCGTCAACTTTCACCTTTTTAATAAGATTTGTTGTTACTGATAAGACATTCTATAGAAAAGTAAGAAATACTTCGATCCGATCTGACTCAATTTTGCGGCTTTCTGCATTTAAAACTTTATCAATGATCGTTGTTCCTTGACTAATTCGTAAGTTCTCTTCACTTTAGTTCAAATCTAAATTAGTACTGTCTGAACTTTTCTATAAGAAGGAAGTGAAAATTATTTTGCTTGATTTTTTTCAAAGTCGTCCTGATGAGAAAGGGACAAACTACGATATAAAAACTGATTCAATACGATTATCCATTCAATATTGTTTAGCAGCCGATAGCGTAGGTAGCATGACGTACCCTTCCAAAATACCACAGAATGTGCAATGTTTTACGCTCATGCTATCCTATCAGATACTGAATCTCTGAGCCGCTACTTTTCTGTAGAAGCGTTGCTTGGTTTATCTAATGTCTGGCATTTCTACTTAACGGCTCCAGTGACTCCTCTTGCGAATAGACGTAGAAAATTAGCAGATAGCCTCGGGCCACTAGTATATATTAAATAAATTTGTAAAGGAAAGTAAAGGGACCGTTAACGCTATTACTTTCTAACGGAAAAGAGTTTAATTACATTTCGTGTGTATCTCTAAATGAACTATAAATGAATATATTTTAGAACAGGGCACAATCCCTGTCTTTTGAGGTTTTCCCTAATATCTACCCTTCTGTAGGTAAACAATTATGAAACTCTTGTGATATATTTCCACACTGGGTTCTCTCTTCAGTGGATACGGCCAGACCGCCAGTCACAGCTGCGACGGACAGTGACACAGCTACACCTGTTGTAGATGATGCTACGGGTTTTGAAGATGACACTTTACCGGGTAAAGTGAAATTACATAGTTTGTTTTTGAAAGGAAAGGTGTCTTTCACTACTGCGTCAATTAGAACAAATGAAGTCACAAACGAACTTCAACCACTCAGTTTCGAACTTATTTGGAGCAACATAGACGATGCAAGAAGACGCGAAACGATGCAGTACAAGCGAAATCAATAGCAGGTCGACTTTCTTGTATGTGTCTGGATATCCTGGCCAGAACACGGTCAAGGCTACTCGGATCTCATAACAAGCTGCCCTAAACAGAGTCACAAATTGTGAATATTAGCTCACCTTAATAAGAAAAGAACTTCCATTTCTCTGAAAATGCATAAGCCCTTTTTCAAGACGCCGGTGGATTTGAACACACATTCAGGGAACTGATGGAAACTAAAATAAATATCGTACACGCCTTCGCGTTTCTTGCATAAAAGATTCGGTAGACCTTCGCTGGTGTCCTTTACGAAAAAAGATTTGACGCACTCTTTGAAGCATAACCGCCATGCACTGTATCTAAATGGAAATTTATGAAATGTGCTATCCGGCAAATATTATTCCGTTTTAACTTGGTGTAATAGGAAGGCAACTGAAGGGCGACAATTCGAAACAGACGCTATTCCTATGAGCAAGTTGATCGGGTATCAAATTTGACGGCACAAGTAAAACTTCTGAACAATTCACATGATCTTAAGGGGTTGGTTCTCAAAATCCTGTGGCGATTTTTCGATATTCTTATTGGTTGCTTTGCAATCTTTCTGTCCAGTTTGATTGTCAAAATGTTATGAAGACAGGTTACGTTGGAGGTCTTTACAGGAGATCAAATTCCCTCACACTTTGTTTTGGGTTGGTATCTTGGGAGTCTTCAGTTCATATTTCCGGGCAATCCGTAAAGTTTTAATAACCTGTAAATTCGTTCAAAGAGGACATATTAATGGTTGCTAGTCGGTTGTGAGTCGCGGAGATTGCCCTAATTCCTTAGGATGAGACCTTTTTGCCATTCCTCGTCGAAATTTTCTGGAATTTCTCTCGTCGTTCCGGTCGGCTTCGTTTTCACTTTCTCCTAAGGACCCTTATCCTTTTTACCTTTCCTCATTCCCTAGCTTGAATTTATTGAATAAAAAGATGCAAAAGAGAGACTTCACCACCTATTCTCGTGATACGGTTCTGGAGATCATCCTATACTGAGCATATCTTTTATGTTACACCATGTTTTTCACTCCATGATCTCTTGCGATAAAATAATTTTCACACGCTCAATTTTCTGTACATTAATTTATTGGACCTACTCGTAAATGAGGGCAAAAGCATAGAGGAGACGAAAGCTGAGAGCATACATTCGGATTTGTAGATGCGCATTTGTTATGTGTATTGATCCATTTTTGTAAAGCAAATGGCTCAGAATACAAATTAGTGGATTTGAACAACAAAGGACCTCGCCCCTTGAGGATCTGCAAAGAAAAAGCTTAGGATCTGATTTT